CACAATCGCCAACCACCAAACATGCTTGAATTTGATTTTGATTTTGATTAAAAAAAAATTCAATTCAATTCTTGATTGAAATTCTTATCAATTTAATTTCCTTTAGTTTTTTTTGCTTGATATTTTGTCCAAAAAACAATCTTAAAATCAAATAAAATCTTTCCAAAAATCAAAGAAAAAAACAGGTGTTATACGTTTTCTGATCTATCAACTAAGATGTTATCATCAACATCAAGGTTAATGTTTTTATTTGCAAAAAAAACGAAAATCCGTTAATAGATAAAAAAATGTATATAAAAGTTGCGATTGAAAATCCGTCTTGATCACTCGATATTGATTGACAAATTATCATTACAAACAAAACAAAAATTCTGAAAAACAACAATGAAACTTTTAATCCATTCAATGGCAATCGTTGCTTCAGCATGTCTTGTTTTCGGTAATCATTTTTTCAAAATTATTTGTTTATTCCATTATTTATCAACTTTTCTTTTTAGGTTTCGAAATCGAAAGCGGACAATATAAAATTGCTGATGCATTGATTAAACATTCTGATACGTTAAAAAACTGTACCGAAAACTATATACTAAAATATCTAAATCATTCTGAAGAAGATTCCAATGTAAAACATTTAAAAATTGATATACATCTTGTTGATGTTGTTTCAAATGAACTTTATGACATGTTATTTCATATGAAAAATGAAAATATAACCGAACATCAATTAAGNGAAAAGGAAATTTATCATTTAGAACATTCAAATGAAAATTTAACTACTAATAATGATTTTGATCTTGAAATCAAAAATGAACGATATGAAATAGCTGATTTATTGCTTAAACATGCTGATATGTTGAAAGAAATTGCTGAAAATGATATACAAAAATATCAAAATAATTCTGAAGATCATTCATCAATCATATATTTGAAACATGATATACAACGTATTGAAAAATATTATGATTATGTACATAATAATTCTCGAATGGAAAACATTGATGAAGATTTATTACATCATTTTCATTATATGGAAAAAGAATTATTAACATTGGAAAATCGAATTGAAAAAGAAATTTTTCATTTGGAATATCATCATCGTCATCGACAACATCAAATCATCGCTGGTGATAAAGATGCTTTATCAATTTAATTTCCTTAATTTGTGTTTCTTGATAATCAAAATAATAATAAAAAACAACAATTGAAAAATAATGAAAACCTTGAGATTAATTTTGATTTTAGATGATTATCATTATTACCACTTGTTGATCCTAATTTCAAATCAAGTTGATTTTTTTGTTTTGTTTTAATTAATTTTATCTAAATTGTAATCTCATTGAGTATATGTGTAATAATAACACTTGAATTTGATTTTCACGTAGCAAAAACAACAACAACAACAACAAACACTTCAACGTTGTAATGTTATGTACCCAATGTACCAATTGTACCGATCAATCGATCAAATTAGTAGTCATTGATAATGGATTCAAAGAATATAATATAAACACAATGTTCCTAGCTATTGGATCATCATTTTTTGTTTGATTTACTATTGAAAAAATTTGCTGACAATCCGACAAAACAAAACTCGAAACAAAATGAAACTCATCTCTATCTTGTTGATTGGAACTTTATTCACCGTTGCAATCGGTAATGTTTTGTTTGATATTTTGAATTTTTTTTAACACTTTTGCAATTATTTTCTAAAATAGCGGCCAACATTCCCGAACCTAAAAATGGTATTAGCAAAGATGAATTAATCCATCATGTTGAAAATCTAATCCATGAATCACAGAATCAATTGTCCAAACATAAACATACTGAACAAAATCATAAAACTGTTGAAGAAATTTATGAATGTATTGATCATCTTGAAGTAATTCATCGCCGATTGGAACGTGGATTGAATGAAACAACATTGAAAATTGAAGAAAATATGGTTAATAATTATGATCGACGATTACATGAATTATTTAAAAAATTATAAATGAAAAAGATTATTATCAAATTATCGAGAGATTTTCAATTATAAAATGAGATTATTATTTTTTTTTTGTTGAAAAATAAAATTTTTATGATTTTTTTTCCCCATTGAAAATATTATTATTAATATCCATTATTATTATTGATTATTATCATTGATCACTTGATTGTCTCAGGGATTTTAAATCGATAGAATCGATAAAAATTAATTAATTAATTAATTAATTAACTGGTTTAAACCGATTTGATGGTTACCTGATATCATCAACTAATCAACCATTAGGTTGTTGTATTGTCTTTTTTTTCTTATAAAAGATAGGAATCATTACAAAAAAATCTCTCTATATAAATCGGTTTTTTCACTATTCTCCTGGTTTTTTTTGTTCTTTATTTGTTTGTTTTGTCCGTTCAACGATAATTGAAAACAAAAAATGAAATTCTTAACATCATCATCGTTTATATTGTTGGCCATGTTTGGCATAACATTGGGTATGTTATTGATTTTTGATTTTTTTTGGTTGAATTAAAAAACTTTTGCCTTTGAAAATTTTTTGTTCCAGCCTATACCGTTCCAATTGCCAATGATGGTCGTGATGATTTGGTTAAAAAATGTGAAGATTTAATCAAAGAAGCACAAGATGCTTTGCATAAATATCAACCAAATCAACGTAATCATAAAGATAGAGAAATGTTGGAAAATGAAACATTTAAACTACATATGTTGATCGATATAATACGTGAACATAAAGATGATTCAAATTTACAATATGTAACATTAGAATATAAAACATCGAAAGCTAAAATTGCTAAAATGATTGAAAAATTGATTGACGATGAGAATGAAATTACAACAATGCCAACAACAACAAAAACAAAACCAACAACAACAACAAAACCAACAACAACAACAAAACCAACAACAACAACAAAACCAACAACAAAACCAACAATTACACCATCAACTCATATCGATAATGTTGGTGATGGTCGTGATGATTTGATTAAAAAATATGATCAATTAATTCAACAAGCAAAAGATGCATTGAAAAAACATCCATCGAATACAAAAAATCAAAAAGATTATGAAATGATTGAACAAGAAATCTATCAAATGAAACAATTAAAAGAATTTGTACATTTTCATAAAGATGATAGTAATCTACAATGGGATAATTTACAATATCAAACACAGAAGAAAAAATTGGAAGAAATGATTAAAAAATTGGAACAAGATGACAATGTGCCAACAACAACAACAACCGGTGCATCGGATATTATTGCCAATGAATTTGATAAAGATTACATGATTGAACGATGTGATGTTGTTTTGAAACGAGCACAACATGCAATGGATACACATAAACAAACTGAAGAAAATAAACCGATTATGGATAAATTATTAAAATGTGTTATTGGTTTAACACAATTAAAAAGTTCAATTCGTTTATCAAAATCCGAAGCAAATTTACAAATGGAAGAATTATATCTGGAAACATATGAAAAAATGGTACCTGATTTGATTAAAAAATTGGATAATCCAAAAACAATCGCTACTACTAATGATGATGATGGTGAAAAAGTAATTAATGAAAGTAAACGATTAATTGAACAAGCTGAATTATTACGTCAACAACATCATGCAATTTCCTATCAACAATATAAACAACTTGGTGATCAATCCGATATTCTTCGTCATTTGATTGATGAAGCAAAAATGGCAAAAAAAGATAAAAATGAATTTGATAAAATTATTAATGAATTACGTAAACAGAATCAAAAAATGCGTGATTTATTGCCATAGATTTCTTTTTCACTGTCAAATTTTTCATTCAATTCTTTTAATTTGATTTAAATTTTGTTAATTTGATTTAATTACTTTCGACAATAAAGAAAGAAAGAAACAGATTGAAATTTTGCTGTTGGTGTTAATTTTTTTCCTTTGTCCATTGAATGTTTCAACGTTGTTTTCCTTTGTTGTTGTTGGTTGAATCAATTCTTGTCTGTCCGAAATTGAAGAAGAAAAAAAAATAATGAAATTCTTATCATTGTTGACGATTGTCGCAATGTTTTGCCTAACATTCGGTAAGTTTGATTTTGACAAAATAATAATAATCTTTTTGTGATTGAAATTTTTGTTTTCAGTCTATAGTGGAACAGATAAAGTACTTGATAGTGAAAAAGTAATTAATGAAAGTAAAAATTTAATAAAAAAAACTGAAAATCTTCGTACAACAATTGCTGAAATGCCATATCAACAACATAAAGAACTTGGTGATCAGGCAAATGTTCTTCGCTATTGGCTGCTAAAAGCACGTACACCAACTAGATATAAAAAAGATTTTGATAAAATTATTCAAGAATTAGATAAACAAAATGAACATATGCAAAGAATATTGAAAAAATATGGACATTAAATTTGTTGTTTTTGTTTTGTTTTGTTTTGTTCGATCTTCATGTTGTTGTTGTGTAACGAAAATATATTTTTGATAATATTGACAGTTGACATTTGATGGAAGGAAAGAAAAAATCGATTGATATGTTGTTGTTGTTGTTGTTTTTCTGGTCCATTGATTATTTTCAAATGTTTTGTTTTTGTTGTTAAAAATCCAAATAATAAATTACTAAAAATAAATCACAATTTCACTCTAAAAAAATTAACTGATTATCAATTTTTTTACCATAGAGAAGTTAATCTTCTTTTTCTTTCTAAAACGCTGATCAACAATCAAAACAATTTTTTTTTATTTGTAAAGAATCATTACAAATCACTCTATATAAATCAGTGATTTTTATTTTGTTTCATTATTCTCCTGGTTGCTGTTCTCTTGTTTTGCCTGTCCAATGAAAGATGCAATTGAAAATGAAATTCTTATCATCATTTTTGTTGTTGGCTATGTTAGCGTTCGGTAAGTTATTGATTATTGGATTTTTTGCCTAAATCGTTTTTTTGTCATATTTTTTCTAGTCTATACCGATGATGAATCGAGTAAAAATTCAACAACAACAGCAATAGAAATGGATAATAATAGCCAAAAAGTGATTGATGAAAGTAATCGTTTGATAAAAAAAGCTGAACTACTACGTCAATTACATCATGCAATTTCCTATCAACAATATAAACAACTTGGTGATCAATGTAATAAGATTCGTAATTTGATACATTTAACACAAACGGCTAAAAATCAATTGGAATTTGATGGTGCTATCAAAGAATTGGAAAATGAAAATCAAAGTTTAAAAGATTATTTAAGCCATTTTCCCGATATTCCTGATGATTAATTTAATGTTTATTTTACAATGATTTTGTTTATTTTTTTCGATCAATTTTGAAATTTTAATCAAGGAAAAAAACCCTTATACCCAATAAAAAAAATAATAAGGATATAAATTTTGAAATTCATTCAACTCTAAACTAAAATAACAAGCTAGCTAACAAGCTAGCTGGATATATGTTCAATTCGCTTGATCATAACGCTATAACGTTTGTGATATTTTGATGTAATTAAAAAAATTGACATTTAACAGAAAAACAAACTAATTGACGATCAACGATCAAATCAATTAATATATAAATCAGATTTTCAGAGATTATTTTTGCCTAGCTGCTTGTTTATCTCTTTTTGTTTTGTCTGTTTTCAACGATCGATAATCGAGAAAAATGAAATTCTTATCAACATTTTTGCTGTTGTTGGCTATGTTTGGCATAGCGTTCGGTAAGTTATTGACTTTTGATTTTTTTCGTTGAAAATAACTTTTACCATAAATTTTTTTTCACCTAGTCAATACCAAACCAAACAATGATCGCAATGAATTGATTAAAAAATATGAACAACTAATACAACAAGCAAAAGATGTATTGAAAAAATATTCAACAATAAAAAATCATCAAGATTATAAAATGATTGAAAAACAAATCAGACAATTAAATGAATTGCGAGAATCAGTTCATTTTAATTCAGATGATGATTTACAATCAGATAAACAACAATACGAAATAGAAAAGAAAAAAACGGAGGAAATGATTGAAAAATTGGAGCAACATAAATCATCAAATGCCAATTCTTCGCTTACTAATAATGTAAAAAAATTTGATAAAGATAAAATGATTGAACGTTGCGATGTTCTATTGAAACAAGCAAATGATGCATTTGATAAATATAAAAAAACCGATGATAATGATTTGATTAGAAAAAAATTACGACAATGTGTTGTTGATTTGGCTAAATTAAAAAGTAAAATACGTTATTCACATCCAACTGAAAATCTAGTGATTGAAGAATCCAATCTAAAATCATATGAAAAAAAAGTACCCGATTTGATTGAACAATTAAACAATAATCCAATGAAACAATGACTGATAATGATGATGATGAAAAAGTAATAAATAAAAGTTGACATTTTAAAAAATTGACATTTTGAAAGCAAAAAACCATGTTTTTTTCGGGTTACAAAGCCCAACGGAATGTCGTCATTTTCAATCGGTGAATTGAATCAATCGATTTTTATCATGTTTATCAACTTGTCATGCAAACAAAAAAAAAAGAAAAATTCAAATTAATTGCACGAAAACAAAAAAAAAAAACTTGTCGTTTGTAATTTATTTTCATTAATTTTTTTTTTTGGTAAAAGTTTCAATTTTTTTTCTTGGCTATTTTTATCATTGTTGTTGGTTTACTTTTTACCTTTTTTCATAATCATCGATTCATCAAAAAAATTTTTTTGTTTCGATGAAATTTTCATTTTTCATTCATCATTCTTTCCAATTAATAACAACCATAGATCAAATGATGATGATGAAATTCTATTGATTAATTTCTTTAATGCAGATCAAGTTTTTTTTTATTTTGGTGGTTGTTTGAATTCATTTTATTGCGTGTGCATACCAGTGAATGTAAGACATTTGAAAAGGTGAAATGAATTCATTTTGATAATAGGCAGAAAATTATCAAACATTTTTTTTGATAAACAATGTTTCGATCAACAAATTTTCAACAACAACGAAAATTTCCAAATCAATCAAATTTTCTAAAAATTAATATTAAACAAATTGAAAATTATTTTCAACAAATTTATCTGATCAATGTTGGCAAAAATAAACAAACAATTCGTAAAATTTACTGGAAAATGTTTATATTGATTATTTGGTCAATTCGTTTTCTTTATATGTATTTGAATACTGATAATCATTCATTTGAATGGCATTTAATACATTTTAATCCAGTCAAAATGGCTAATATTGATAATAAATTAAATCTATTTAATGCATCATTTGGTTGTTTGTTTGTTTATTTTATCTATATTTTATATTTTTGTAATAATACTCGAGCAACACAATTAATTTATCGTGTTTTAATTGATGGTGATCAAAGATTTTTTATACGGGAAAAATCATTATCAACATTGAATGGACAAAATATTGTTGATGATGATGATTATCAACGACAGAAAATTGTTAGAAGAATTCGTTTATGGCTTACTATTTATCATCAAGCATTTCATTTTCTTTATTATGCTTCATGTAAGTTTATCTTAGTTTATTTTTTCTGTTTTCTGTTTCTAAGAATTGCTTTTTCTGAACAATTAAAGATCTTTTGGCCATAATTTATGAAATTCAAATCCTAATGATGCTCAAAAAATTCGGATATTTTTCATCCATTCCGGGAATTATAAATATTATAATAGAATTATTTCATCTAATTCTTGTTATTATTGGTGGTCAAACATGTTTAGATATTTCATTTATATTTGGTGCATGTTTTATTACAATAACAATGATTTTATTTACAAAATTTCAACAAATTAAAACAAAATGGTTGGATAGAAAAAAACATGTAAAATCAATAAAAATAAATAGAAAAATAATATGGAATATACGTAATCGAATCATTAAAATGCTTATATTGATTGAAAGTATTGATCATACATATGGTATATTAATGTTTTTATTTATATTGTTTAATTTTCCAATGAATGCATATTTAACAATGATTACAATAATAACAAAAACAAAACCATTTACTGAACAATTATTACATCAAACAATTACTATTAATCAATGGTCATATATATTTGTATTTCATTATATTGCAATACGTTTTGGTTATTATTTACATTTACCATCCAAATATTTTATCAATCGATATTATTTGAAATGTACAAAACCATCAACAAATCGTACCACGATGATGATGATAATGAATATTCGTGATCGTTTACAATTTTCAGATTGGTTGGAAAAATTTCATACAAAAAAACGTTATGGTTTAACATATGGCCGTACCAATCTGATTACAATGTCCACATTTGTTCAGGTAAATTTCCTAAATTACTTAAATTTCAATTCATTAAAAATTGTCATTTTCCATTCCAAAAAATTCTAGTTTATATTATTCTATGCTAAATTTATGATGATTGCATACAAATTGATGGATAAATAAAGAATAAAATCCATAGTTTTTTTTGGTTTTTTTTTTGATTTTCATTGGAAGCAATAAAAAAAACAACAAGAGAATCGGTTGTCATGATTTCATTTGATTGTTTTTCAAAGAAAAAAACTAAAAAAAAAATGAAAAAGAAATAATGGAGAATCATGAAAAAACAATTGAACAAAATAACCATTCGTCATCATTGTTGATATATGGAAAAAGTTTTTCTCATAAAAAATTTTCAAAACTTTTTTTTTTTTTGAAAAATATGAACTTAATGACGACAATAAGCATTATTTATTATTCTCAACTATCGATTCCAGAATATATATCCAAAAAAACACACATTTTCTTTCATTTCTCACTATAATTTGCATTTTTCATATAATATAAAATTGAAAATTATTCTCAAAACTTTGGTTGTTTTGGTTGTTGTCTGACGATATGAATATCGATATACAAAACATTATTATTATTTTGTTGTCATTTCGATTCATTGGGTTTTTGTCCATCTAATACTTCAATAAGAGATTTTTTTGGTGATCAAAATTGACTATAGTTTCAAAGGAAAAAATGCTGCGAAATCAAATACGATCAATCATATTTTCCATTATGAATTATGAAAAAAATTATCAAAAAAATAATGTTTTTTTACTGTTAAATAATTATTGTAATTATATTCGATTGATTAATATTGATAAAAATATCGATATAATTCGAAGAATTTATTTAAAAATGTTCATATTGATTTTATGGTCCAGTCGTTTTCTTTATCTTTATTTTATCGGTATTGATCGTTCATTTGAATGGCGTGTTGTAAATTTTGATTGGATTAATATGGCTAAAATTGATAATATGTTAAATCTTTATTTAGCATCATTTGGTCTTTTACTTGCATATTATACATATATAATTTATTTTCATAATAATACTCGTGCAACACAATTAATTTTTCGTATTTTAATCAATGGTGATTTGGGATTTTTTATACGTAAAAAATCATCATCATCATCATCATCAATCAATGAACAAATTGTAAATGTTGATCAACGACAAAAATTTGTTCGACAAATTCGTTTATGGCTTAATGTTTATTATCAAATATTTCATTCATTATATTTGGTAACATGTAAATATATCTAATATTTTTTTTTTTTGACAAAGATTTAAATATTTCTATTATTTGTAGATATGTTAGCAATAATTGCTGAAATTCAAGTTATGAATTTTTTCATGAAAAATGGATATTTTTCAACTTGTTCGGGTATTATCGGCATCATAACACAATCTGTTCATTTAATCTTTGTTGTTATTGGCAGCATAATATCATTGGATATTTTATTCCTATTTGGTTCTTGTTTTCTTTCAATTACAATGATTTCATTCACAAAATTTGAACAAATTAAAAAGAAATGTTTAAAACAAAATCAAAAATCCAAAATAATGACTAAAAAAATTATAAATGAAATACGTAATCGAACAATACAGATGCTT